AATCAAAAGTCCAAGGAAGCAATTCAACAAGACAACAAGAGCAAATCATTCAACACACATGATCAAGATCAAAGATCTAGATTGCAACATATCCTTGAGAGCTTATATCTAAATGTAAACGTAATTGATTAATGATGCATAAATGAGCTCAAAGGATATTTAACTCTATGCATGCATTATCCATGACACCAATCACTTGAAAGCCTTAATACTTATGAAAAAGACCCTTGATATATTTCGTAACCTCAAAACATTTTCAACAAGTCTACGAACTACATTAAAAGTGATTAAAGGCAAGTAGGAATGCTTTACAACTCAAAAAACTGCACTATTTATGTTCTGTCGTGAAAGTATTTGAATACTTTCTTGACTGTATTCGAATACTTATGTTGTGAACAAAGTATTTGCATACCTTAATAAAAGTATTCGAATACCTGGTGAAGTATTCAAATACTTCACGAAAAGTATTCGAATACTTACTGGGCAGTAAGCTTTCTAGCAGCTATAAACGGCTAGTTTCGTGCCAACGCCTATATAAACTTATTTATTACTATTCAGAAAGCTAAGATTTACTGTTCCATTGATTTTGCAATCATTATTGATTATTCTCATTGAATCAAACTCATTCATTACTTGTTCTTACTCATATTGATCATAAAACTCTTTTGAGCTTCATTCTTGTGTCATTGATCAATACCCATAAGCTTCACTTGTATAATTTGTACTTCAAGAGTACAAACTCATTTCTAAACACTCTCATTCTGTTTATTTAAGTTGAGGGTAGTGAGACCTTAGTGAAAAGGTTGCTCATAGCCTAAGAAAGTGAGTGGAAGTGTAAGAGTTTCAAGAACCAAAGTTCTTGAAGGTTGTAGTGGTTTGTCAAGCACCCTTGAAGCTTGATCATTAGTGGAAAGTTGAACAAGCAGCTTCAATCTGGACGTAGGTCACGGTGGTGGTGAACGAACAAGGATATATCTTATTTGCAATCTGTCTAACTCCTTATCTCTTTACATAAGCATTGTTAGAATACTTGAGTTTATTTAAATTTACACTTTGCATACTATTTGCTTGTATTAATTTCTATTCTTTAAACTTTGCTTGTGTCAAAATCATATTAACTCAAGAAAATTGTTTTCAAGAAAGAAAGTGAGGCATTTTGCGAAAATATTTTTAAAATTCAATTCACCCCCTCTTGAGTTTGAGACCACTTGTCCAACAGCCCATAGTGTGTTATACAAGTTGGGCATTTCGAATTTGCATACTGCAGTTTGAGGGGGTGTATTCGAGGAACAAACACAATTTTAAAAATATTTTGCATTTAATGTATACGTAATTAGGAATAGAATTAATTGTCAGCATAATTAGCTATTATGTTAATATTCTGCATTGAATAGAATTAATTGTCAATATAATTAGCTATTACGATAATATTATGCATTAAATAGACTTAGTTATTAACATAATTATAGGATAGAATGTATGAAAGATAGTTGATACTTTACATCTAAAAACGAAGTGACACTTCTATATATATATATATTTTTTTTTTTGGAAATATATATTTTTCTATAATTTGGTTTAATAATTAATTTGCTAACAAATTTTTTTATAATTTATTTATCTTTCTTTTCCACTATATAAGGGCAGTTATTGTGGCATAATTGAGCCATATTAGTTTACCTCTGAAAATGAAGAGATACTTCCATATTTTTTTCTATAATTTGGTTTAATTAATTAATTTGCCGACAAATTTTTTTATTAATTTATTTCTCTTTCTTCCCCACTATATAAGGGTAGTTATTGTGGCACAATTGAACCCGATTAGTTTACCTATGAAAATAAATGGACACTTCCATTTTTTTCTATAATTTTGTTTAATTAATTTTGCCAACAAAATTTCAATCATAATAGCTGTCATTTAAGATAAGTTGGCCATAGTGTGTTATCCAAGTTGGGCATTTCGAATCTACATGCTGCAACTTGAGGGGGTGTATTAGAGGAACAAACATTATTTTTGTTATTAACCGATTAAGTGTCAAAAGGAATATAATTCATGGGGTCTAAAGCATATACGTAATATTTTTTGTCCTCATTATTATTGTTATTAACCGGTTAAGTGTGAAAAAGAATCTGATTCATGAAATCTAAAGTAAACACGTGACATTTTTGTACTCTAGTGTTTTCTCTCTTCTAGTTTTAGGCTTCTATCTTCTAATTAGATTTTAAATTTAATTCTCATTAATGGTATATACTATTATTTTTTATTCCCAACTTGGGATAAACTTCTGCTCTTGCTGACTCATTTAATTTCCGTTTTTCAATTAATTTTTGTTTGAAATATAATTTTCATTTTCATTTAGTTTATGATTTTTGTCCTCATTGTTATTGTTATTAGTCAGTTAAGTGTGAAAAAAAATCTGATTCATGGGATTTAAAATAGACACATGGCGTTTTTTTTGATCTAGTGAGTTCTCTCTTCTAGTTATATATATATAGATGATATATACATCCTTAAAACTTAAACAATATATGACTTGATTTGAAAAGGAAAATAAATTGACTTATGTCTAAAGTGGGATGGGCTCGGTTGTATAATGAAAAAGAAAATATTAAAATAAAAGGCCGGGGTGATTATCTCATAAGGGGCTCAAACTTGACCTCACCTTGGAATCGATTTTCTGAAATGGCTCATGCTTTGCAAAGAGCCGCAATATTTTTTTGGGCTTTCGTGATTATTTTTAAAGCTTTTAATTATTTTCTATTTAACTTTTATCTTTTTATTTTTTAGGATTATTTGGTTTTTGGTTGCCTATTTAAGGGTGTTGTGTTGTGGATTCTAATTTATTTAATTCTTTTTGGTTAAATAAAATTATATTGAGAATTGTGACTTTTACGAATCCTACTTCATTCCTATTTAGTAGGGATGTTCGTCAACCAATCCAAACCGATTCAAATCGTGGTGATCGAACCGAAAAATCGATAACCGAATAAATCGAAAATCGAAAATCGAAAAAAATCACAAATTCTAATTGGATTGGATCGGTTTTCGGATTGGTTGATAAAAATCGATCTGATCCAATATATTAATTTTCCTCTACCTACTTGGGTTTTTTGCCAATCATAGTCCGAAAATTTCTAAACTCAATATGCATTAACTCATCAACTAAACCTAGGAAAAAATCTAAACACATCTCATCAATAAAATTTTATCTGTGTAGAACTTCATAATATCTCATTGCTAAAAAAAAAATTATATTGTCGTTTACTGATGCTTTTGTATTTCAAAAAAAAAAAAATTTACAAAGCCAATATATATAAAAGATGTTATTTGCACAATAATCATGAAACAAATTTTAGGATTTTTAAAAAACTGAAAGTCGATCCAATCCAAACCGAAAAAAATTGGATTGGATCATATCGGATTTGAAAAGAAAATCCAAACCGAATGAATGATTACATAATCAAACCAAAAGGATTGGATCAGATGATTTTTGCTTCCAAAACCAATCTAATCCAGACTGCGAACACCCTTACTATTTAAGTCAATTTCGGTCATGTTTTGGCATTAACAATCATTAATTCATATGAGAAATTATGAAATTATGTAATATAACCTCCTCTGAGATAACATTATCTATTTTTCAATAAAGCCTCTCCAGCTACACTATTATGTAAAGCAAAAAGAAAAGAAAAAAGAGCAAGAGATCACATGTATGATTATGCTAATTAATCCCATTTATTTTTGGAACTACAATTCTGCATTGTTTGCTTAGCAAATTTGAGTCCCATTTTTGGTACGACATCATTCACGCATCTTCTTTTCAAGTCAATTTTGACCAAAAGAGAATAACAATAAAGGAAGAGAGGAATAGTGGGAACTTTGCACTTTTTGGTTCAGGGGAGATCCCCCGTTTGTTTAGTTTTTATATTTTTTCTAAATGTGATGAGTTTTATTTTTTTGAAAAACTAAAATTAATAAATGAGTCATGACTCATTTATTTCTTAGGCTAAAGTATGAAAAACTACTTTATTATAATCGTATGAGTTATGACTCATTTATTTCTATATGTGATGAATTTTATTTTTTTTGAATATATTTCCATTATTAATTTTCATGCAAGGAAATTTGAATATTATCAAAATCAAGAAATGGTTTAATTTAAGCAATGTGATTGATTTTCCTTTTTCTGAATGCAAAAGAGCAGCATATAAACCATTGTTTCATCCAATAAGTCATAATGAGAGGATTAGGTCATGTGTGTTTTGAAATTTTGATAATAATGATATAATTGTCTATTGATCTTTGTGTGTGTATTTTTTTTTTTTAAATAATGTTAAATGATATTGGGGATTGGTGTTTCACAATTTTGTGCATCTATACCTCTAATAAATCATGCGACCAAAACTTTAAAGTTGATTTTCCTTGTTTGACCTATGAAAAAGGAAGAAATTAATACAAAAAAGAAAATAGTAATTAAACCCCAAAAGATTTTTAAATATAAAATTTTTTATTCAATTTTCTGTGAAAAATGTCTCGTCATAATTAATTACCAAATCATAGAAACCAGGGACAAAATTGGTGGCAACATGTGTTAGCATGAGCTTAACACAATTTATTATGTTTAGATACCAATCAAATCTCATATATTATATTTTTCATGTAATTTTGGTGCAGAGTTTGTGCAAAATTCATTCAACATCATTAGAGAAATCTTAATATAGTATTTTTTTTCTTCTTATTATTTCCTTTATTATAATCGTATGAGTTATGACTCATTTATTTCTATATGTGATATTTTTTTTTGTGCAATTATTAATTTTCATGCAAGGACATTTGAATGTTATCACAATCAAGAAATGGCTTAATTTAAGCAATGTGATTGATTTTCCTTTTTCTGAATGCAAAAGTGCTATATAAGCCATTTGTTTCATCCAATAAGTCATAAAAAAATTTCAAAACAAAACACTTTGGTGCTTCTCCAATTTGAGAACCTTTGAGGATGGGAACTTACTTTTCCTTCTTGTTCATGCTCACATTCTTGTTGGTGGGCAATGTCCAATGCAACCCAAACTACAAAGAAGCTTTGGCTAAATCCTTATTATTTTTTCAAGGCCAGAGATCAGGAAGGCTTCCTCGGGACCAACAAATCACATGGAGATCCAATTCAGGTCTTTCTGATGGTAGCTCAGCCAATGTAAGAAATTTCATGTTTTTTTTTTCCTTTTTATAAATTTATTTTTTTGTTTGTTCTTTTGAACCTTTAAACACAATATAATTGTCATCTTTAGGGAGGGAGCTTGATGTTGAGATTCATGTGAACAAAATAAAAAAACTGAGGAAGCATATCATTTCTTTGATTTGATGCTAGTTTTTTTGTCTTTAACCTATTTTTTCTCTCTTGAAAAGTTATGTTTTATCACCTTGTATAATCTTAAATCAAATATTTCATAGAGTAAATTTTGGTATAAATAACTGTTTAAAGGGTGCTGATTCAAGTGGTACATACTTGATTCGCTTACTCTCCCCATGATGTAAATATTTTCAACTCGAACAAGATTATTTTCCATGTGGGATATATGTGATTTGTCCAAAAAAATAACTCCGGTATTAATATTTGTCATTGTCTCCATCTTTTACTTTTTTTTAAACCCTAAAGTGGTTCAAATTATTTTTATTATTTTACATATTAAATAATTAAAATTAAATGATCAAATGTTTATTATTTATTAAATTAAAATTTTATATTCACATAATTATTATTTATCAAATAAATAAAATATATAAACATTATAAAAGTTTTTTTACTTGAAATTTAAATACAAAATCGGTTGAACTTCTCCAACCAATATAATAACACACATATATTTATAATTTAAAAGACCTTAAAGTAATGGTATTTGAAATGTTTTCTTTCTTATACAATCATCCCTTCCCTACTTTCAGTATTGTGCTGTACGATGCATCCTATTGTCTCATCTTTCATTTTCTCAATTGTTTGTACTATTTGAGATTTGTATGATTAATATCGCAATTTACCTAATTCCAAATCACAATGAATGACTAATAATTTGCTTCATCATTAACTTTCAATGCATAAACTTTGGTATGACTTAATTTTCATCAATTGTACATATATATATATATATAAATAATAATATAACACAATAAATGCATTTTAAAAAATCTACATTAAAAGAGTGGCTTACAAATCCAAAACTTTTGTTTGGCAGGTGGATTTAAGTGGAGGATACTATGATGCAGGAGACAATGTGAAATTCAATTTTCCAATGGCATACACCACAACAATGTTATCATGGAGCACAATTGAATATGGCAAGAGAATGGGACCCCAAATCAAAGAAGCAAGAGCTGCAATTCGTTGGGCCACAGATTACCTCCTAAAGTGTGCTACATCCACTCCTGGTAAGCTTTATGTTGGAGTTGGAGACCCAAATGTGGACCACAAATGTTGGCAAAGGCCAGAGGACATGGACACTGGCAGAACTGTGTATTCGGTATCTCCAAATAACCCTGGTTCAGATGTTGCTGCTGAAACTGCTGCTGCTCTTGCTTCTGCATCTATTGTTTTTAGACATGTTGACCCAACATACTCTAGTTTGTTGGTGAAGACTGCCCGAGAAGTTTATGAATTTGCTTTGCAGTATCAAGGTTCTTACAGTGATTCATTAGGATCTGCAGTTTGCCCATTTTACTGCTCATATTCTGGTTTTAAGGTAAAGCCATTTTGTTGTTTGTTGCTACTGTTTACCAACTTTTTTGTGCTACTATTAATGTGTTATTTTAATATGCTTTATGTATTTTCAGGATGAGCTATTGTGGGGAGCTGCATGGCTTTTCAGAGCAACAAATGCTGTTTCCTACTATAATTTGGTCAAGTCCATGGGATCTAATGATCAACCAGATGTCTTCAGCTGGGACAACAAATTTGCTGGTGCATATGTTCTTCTCTCAAGGGTAAGTTGTTCATGTGCCAGCAATGAAAAAATGTGAAGATTAAGCCTGAAGTTTGTTTTAACTCACTGGGTTTCTATTATTCCTTTTAATTGTTACTGCAGAGAGCATTGCTAAACAGTGACAACAACTTTGATCAATTCAAGCAAGAAGCTGAGAATTTCATTTGCAAGATAGTGCCCAACTCTGGCTCTTCAAGTACACAATATACACCAGGTAAAGGGAACATCATGAATTTGAATTTCAAAGATATATACCTCATGATTATTAATATCCAAAATCTACCTAAAACTTAGTGAATCACACGTTCAAAAGTACAATTCTGGATTCTCATGTACTTTTGTTCTACCTTTGAACTTTGAAGTATTCTTATTAAGGGATATTTTACAAATAATTCCAAGAACGGGGAATGATGGCATGGAACTGTTAAATATGACAATTTTTTTCATATTCAGTCAAATATACTTTGAAGGGCTCCGAAAGTATTAAGAAGGACACTATTTTATGCATTACTTCTATTTATGTGCAGGGGGGCTCATGTTCAAGCTTCCTGACAACAACCTTCAGTATGTGACATCTATAACATTCTTACTTACAACCTATTCCAAGTATATGTCAGCTACAAAGCAGACATTTAACTGTGGCAATGTCCTTGTCACTCCAAATACCTTAAGGAGCATTGCAAAAAGACAGGTAACTCTCGTTATTTCAACATTTGTACATTCAATATTCTCTTCTCTTCTGCATATTCATTTGTTAACAAAATTTATTTGTAAAATTTCAGGTAGACTACATATTAGGAGAAAACCCATTAAGACTGTCCTACATGGTAGGTTATGGTCCCAACTTTCCCAAGAAAATTCACCACAGAGGATCTTCCTTGCCTTCAATAGCAACTTATCCACAAACCATAGGCTGTGACGAAGGTTTCCAACCATTTTATTATTCAATGAATCCTAATCCCAACATATTGGTTGGAGCCATAGTTGGAGGTCCAAACCAAAATGATGGATTCACAGATGATCGCAATGATTACAGTCATTCCGAACCTGCAACTTACACCAACGGTGCTATTGTTGGTCCTTTAGCATACTTTGCTGGTATCCGTTAATTTCTGATTGACTTCAATTGCAAGGTTAGGACCTTGTAATAAAATGCAGATATTATCTTAGCAAATGTTGGATTCTGAAGTTAACAGTTTTATTTGTATGTTTTAATAATTATTATCCAACATATTTATTATCTTTTACGCTACTCGGCGCATCATAGCACCCAAAAATCTACTATGAGACTACCTCATCCGTTCCAACAGTCTTTTTATCTTTCTATATGGTAAAGAAATGCTAAATTTAGATCCTTTCAAATACATTATGCATTTTGATAGACTATGTGCAAGGTTTATAGCCATAAATGATTAAGAAAAAAAATTAAAGGTAATTAATGAGCTAAGTAGATAACCGTTAATGGTAAAAGAAATTAAAAGTTTTCTACGAAACAGACATAACAAATCAAGAACTTACGAGAACTCACCACACTAGCTTTTGTCAACAATTACCTAAAAAAGTATACCATGCATGATTAGATTCTCAATATCTCTTTCAAAACTATTTTATTTTAATATCTACTACATTTATATTACATAACATTATTAAAACTTTTATATTATTATCTGGGGAAGCATCTTCGCTGTTGATTTCACTTGTATCTAACGACT